GGCAGGGGGGGGAGACAAGGGGGGTTGCTCCCGGGTTGGTCCCGCAGCTCTGCTCAGGTAATGGTGGTGCTGCAGGACCAACCTGGCAGCACCCCAGCTGCTCTGCCCCAGGCTTCCCGGAGTCAGCCGCTGGTCAGTTTCAGCAGCAGCAGCTGAATTGGGGAAGCTGGGGGCAGAGCAGCTCCAATTGTCCAGCTGCCCGGAGCACTTCTGGGTCCAGATAGTGCTGGACCATCAGGAGTGCTGGACCATTGGATGCCGGACCACTGGAGTTTTACTGTATTTCAAACCGAGCCTCTCTGCAGATGACTTCTGTATGTCAAAAGGCCCCACACCAGTTACATGCAGTACTGAGTCCTGTGCAGATAACAAGCGCATTGCGCTAAGCAGCCAAACTTGTCACCTCTGGAAGTGAAGGTGAAGAAACCCTATTTTCCAATCCATTCTAATCCCAATATGAACCATCATTTTATTGAGCTTTATCTTACATGAATTTATTTTAACTCCCCTTCTCACAATATTCACCACTGTAGGTAACCACCCTCATGGTTATCCAGGCTTGCAACCTACATCTCAGTCAGCTCTCTGCTCTCCTCTCGCATCTATATCACATCACCAAATCCTGTCAATTCTCTCTGCAACATCTTTAAAAATAGGTATTTAGTTCAATCCCCTGGCTATGCTTGTCAATGCTTTGTTCCTCTCCTGCCTTCCCCCTCCTCCTGTCTGTCTACCTGTTCCCACCACTGTATTCAGAATAGGGATTAAAATCCTAATTAAATGGAATCCCAGTGGAAATAGCTTCAACCCTGGTGGAACAGCTCCCAGTCACACACACACCCCTCCCCGGGTAGCCAGCTCTTGACCTTCACAGGTCTGCTCCTGGATACGTTAAGCAGTAAGGGTGATGCTTACCAGATAACCGGTGAACCAGTTACCTGTTTACATCCCTAATTCAGAACACCACAAATAATCTTCCTCTCCTGCCATTTGGACTACATCACTCTTTTTCTTCAAATATTTATAAACACTTCAAAAGCCACAGAATCTATCAACACTTCTGTCACTACAATATGAATGCACTGCAGAGAACCAAGAAGATCCAAAGACCATGCTGCTCGTTTTCCATACTACTCAGTATTATCACAAGCCAAATTCCTGGCACAAAACTAGTTCTTCATCTTGCCTCTGGATTACTTATGGGCTGTTATTTTGGGTCTTCTGCTCACCTGGGAAATGCTCTGGTTAGGGGGTCTTCTCAGAGGACTCTGCCTGGGGCTGCTGCACTGAATCTGTATCTAGCTTTGCTAAATGTCATGTGCTTTCTGTTTGTGTTGGTTACTATGAGCCAGGCAATATTTGAGATAGTGTGGCCCTATTTTATTTTTAATTAACCCCAGAACCATGATGCAGCTCTAGCACTCACTGGAGAACCAGTGAAGGAAGGCATTATTTTTCTCCTTCTCCTTGTGTAAGAATCCCACGTTATATATTGTATACTAATTTTATAACATGGGTGTGTGTGTGTGTGTGTGTGTGTGTGTGTGTGTGTGTGTGTGTGTGAGTGAGAGAGAGAGAGAGACTTTAAAGAGACAGTACATTTTCAAAATGCAATTTCCTGACTATTAATTTATATCCAGGCTATCAGACAGCTGTGTTTTTACCAGTGTGCATGACAGCTGAATTTATAATATACAGGCACCTTTCATTTGGATTAAAACACAAGTTTTTGAGATCCGAGGAATGTTATGTATAAAGACTTTGCCACTAACACCACCTACATTTGTAAAGTCCAATACATACAGGAGTAAATATAACTGGCAGGTGCATTTGAATTGCACAAATTACCAAGCTAGTTAGCTACTTCAAACTATAAATATATCTATCTGCCCAAATGAAAGAACTAAGTGTGTGTAAGCTGTGCAATCTTCCCTTTTGTATTCACTTTTTGTGAACATTCTAAGGAATGAGTCACTAGCTAGAATGCTCAAAAATGTGCTCTAAAAATTCTCAGGTTTTGAAAATATTAAGAACTAGAAGATTTACCCAATGATGCTCAGGTCCTTAACTCAATTAATTTTGTTGTAAATAAAATGAAAATGGAAAATGAAAATAAAATTAAAATATACATGCAATGTTCCCATACGAATATGGAGGGGGGAGTTTCAGCCTGCCTCAAAGGCACCCGGGAGGGGTGGGAGGCTCCAGGCTAGGGCACTCCTGGATGGGGGATGCACCCAGCCAGCACCTTCTACATGCCTGGTGATTCTGTCTCTTTTCTGTATGGGTTTATGAGAAGGAATCCCATTCCAGCCACATCACATTTTCCTGACACAACCAAACCCTTACTTTGCTTTAAGTTATGACAAGAATAGAAAGATGTAAGAATGACGCTACAGGCTCAGACCAAAAGTCCATCTAGCCCAGTGTGCTGTCTTCTGACAATGGCCAATGCCAGAAGTCCCATAGGGAATGAACAGAACAGGGAATCATCAAGTGATACCTCTCCTATCACCCATTTCCAATGTCTGACAAACAGAAGCTAGAGATACCATTCCAGCCCATCCTGGCTAATAGCCACTGATGGGCCTATCTGCTATGAATTTATCTGGTTCTTTTTGAACCCTGTTAAAGTCCTGGTCTTCACAGCATCCTCTGGCAAGGAGTTCCACAGGTTGACAGTGCTGCGTGAAGAAAAGCTTCCTTTTATTGTTTTAAACCTGCTACCTATTAATTTTATTTGGTGACCCCTAGTTCTTGTGTTATGGGAGCAAGTACATAGTTTTTCCTTATCTACTTTCTCCACATCGGTAGTGACTGTATAGATCTCTAGCAAATTCTCTCCCTTAGTTTCCTCTTTTCTAAGCTAAAAAGTCCCAGTTTTATTAATCTTTCCTCATATGGCAGCCATTCTAAACCCCTAATCATTTCTGTTATCCTTTTCTGAACTTTTTCCAATGCCAAGATATCCTTTTTGAGATGAGGTGACCACATCTGTATGCAGTATTCAAGATGTGGGCGTACCATGGATTCATATAGAGGCAATAAGATATTCTCTGTCTTATTCTCTATTCCTTTTTAATTGCCTTTGAGGCAGGCTGAAACTCCCTCCTTCCATATTCGTATAGGGACATTGCATGTACATTTTAATTTTATTTTCATTTTCCATTTTCATTTTATTTACAACAAAATTAATTGAGTTAAGGACCTGAGCATCGTTGGGTAAATCTTCTAGTTCTTAATATTTTCAAAACCTGAGCATTTTAGAGCATATTTTTGAGCATTCCAGCTAGTGACTCATTCCTTAGAATGTTCACAAAAAGTGAATACAAAAGGGAAGATTGCACAGCTGGCACACACTTAGTTCTTTCATACGCAAGAGAACTCTATGCTGAATTTGGTGGTCCTAGCTCTTACCGTTTAGGAAGAGTTCTTGAACAGACAGACAAACGACAAACTCTCTCAAACAGACAGTAGATTACTGAATGTGATCTTCTATTAGTTTATTAAAAGAATATTTACAGAATGCTTGTTTTAGTTTTTAAAAAGGTTGCACTGTTTAGGAAATGTTCCCCCTCCTCAAAAGTTTCACAAAAGCAAAATATTGTTTTCTTCTATACTGGTACATTTTAATTGAAATCCCCAAGTCCTAAATTGCTTTGTTTTCCAGCAGCCCAAGTGTATTGCTTTTTTGACAAAACCAAAATTATAAAGTATTTTTTCTCTCTGCAATTTTCATTGTCAGAAAGTTATTTTGCACTGAAAAAATGTTCTGAAAGAAAAATTTCAGCCAGCACTCTAACAGACACCTGATTCGATGTCCAATCAAAACTAATCTCCATCTCAGACATGGAGTATCTGGGGGGGAAAGCTGCTTACAGTTTACAGAATATTCAGAGAATAATTTTAAATAACAAATACATTTGAAGAGCTGGCTGCATGCAATTCACAAATAAAACAATAGGACAGTTTCATTGAATAAATTGCTACTACAAATTATCTGTTCGGTTTTACTCGAGACATTGACCTTCTCATGGAATTTACAGGAATAATAAAGCTAGGTTTTCAGCTACCCAATTTAAAATCGGCTTTGCACTTGTAGATTACATGGATTGAAAAAGACTATAATTTCTCCTCTGGCATTCATGAATGACTATATTAGTTACAAAAATGTACTAGGAGTAGTATTGAATTCTACATTATTTGCATCACTTTACTAGATCATGCCTCATTACAGTGAATGCCAAAATTCTGGCGCATGTTTGATTAATTTGCAAGGTCAATTAAAGCAAAATCACTCAACCTAGCATTCTCTTCTACATCTCTCTTTTACCATGCTTCCAATGGGAAAGAGAAGAATATTGCCAACATCCCTAGAAGGCACAATATCATTCTAAAATCTTGTTAAGAATATTGTGGTAAAGTTGCCACAACACCTCTACTCCTGGCTGTGGCACTGCAGCCACTTTTCCCTCAGTTTCCCCTATCTTCTTTTGGTCTACTTCAACTATAGGAATGTCACAGCCTTCCAGATAGACCGCTCTACATCACCAGCCACTTCAAGGGAGACAGAGTCCTTACCAAAGTCCAACAAAAATATATAGATACGCAAATTAAACCTTGGCCCAACTGGGCCCAGCAAGCAGTCACCCCACAGTTGTGGCTCCTTGTTTCAATCAATCCCTCAATCCAGGGGCTTACTGTGGGGTTTACAGCAGGTCCAGCTCATCAAGCCTCCCTACGGTTGCCTGGTGTCCGGTTTTGAACTGGACAGTCCAGTATTTGAGCTTTCTGTTTGGGAAACAAATTGAGAAAATATAAATGAGAAAATAGAACTGTCCGGTATTTTCTAAATAAGATGTAATGTAGATTGTGATGTAATGTCAAGTGTGTCCGGTATTTTGGTAGAAACCATCTGGCAACCCTAACCCTCCCCCCCATCCTCCATCTCAATCAGACTTTCAGCTTGCACCTGGAGAAGACTGTCTAGTCTTTCCTTCCTTTCATCCTTTTTTTCAGCTGTTTCCCAGAGAGAGGACTCTTCCCACCTTCTCTTCTCTGGTTCTGCTCCTTGACACTCCTGTGTCACTGCTCTCTACTCCCCTTCCCAGAGATTAACTATAAAATTTCTCCGTCACTCCCCCTTCCCTTTTCCCCTTCTTCTGGTATTTTATGGCACAGCAGACTTGGAATGAGAGTCTCTATCCGCCAGCTATTGGATTTCATGATTTATACTTACTGTCTATCTCTATGCTCAATATTTTTCAACTATTGTTGCTTTCTTAATGCGCTCTCATTTTTTAGATACTTTTTCTAGATATTTTACTGGGTAAATACCGTCACTTTTAGGTGTCTTGAGTTTGTCATACAAATTTCCCTATTGGTGTTACACTCTTTACATTCCCACCAGAGAAAGTAACCAACTGTTTCTTTGACCAAGTTACTGTTTAAGAGAAAGTATCTAGTCAGCATTTCAAGTAAAGCTACCTTACTCTCTCCAGCATGTTCCCACAGGTGTGAGCATTTTCAGTTTCAAGGCATACTTCATGGAATCGCTTTCCCCCTTGTTTCTGTTGTACGTACTTCCTGCTTCTTGGCTTTCAGTTGATTTTAATAAGGTTTTCAAACTCCTATGTATTTAGAAGGATTTAAATGTCATTTTTCTCTCAAAATGTCTTGCTAATTTGTCCACCATCTTGTTTCCTGCTATCCTAATATGCACGGAGATCTATGCTATTTCAAGGATTACGCCCATCTGTGCCAATTCTGTTATTAATAACAATATTTCATTAAGTATAACATTTAGACAATCTGAATTCTCATTTTTGATTGCCAGTACCTTGATAGTGAATGATAAGATGATAATGAATATAGTTAACACATCTTGTATCTAGTATAACACCAACATTATCTCTGCTAGTTCAACTATCATAAAAACTACAAGATGTGATACTCTAGTGGATTTCTTTATTCCAAGTGATGGAATACAGAAAGCTGTCCCCCTCTCCAGGTTCTCATCTTGAGACTAGTCTGTAAATATTTGGCAACGTTCACTCCATTTATCACAGATACATCAATTTTTCTGCAATTTTTTACATTTAGCTTTCCTTTTAATTGCATTATGTGGTTCAACATTTATATTTGCGTCGTGATTTTCTTTCTATAATGCATCTTGCATGGTTGTATATGCTAATTTCATAGAAACACTGAACTGTAGAGGTGCATTTACACAGCACCTGAAACTTGAAATAAGATATGCAATTTGCGTAGCTTATTTTGAATCTGTGTCAAAATAGCTTATTTTGTCATTTGGAGCTGTCTACAAAGTGCCAAATTCTGAAATAAAGCGCTATTTTGAGCCATCCCTTACTCCTCGTAGAATGAGGTTTACAGGGATGGCGAAATAGTGCATCTGCTATATTTCAAAATAATGGACGCATTCAAAAGACGTGGGGTAGCTATTTCGGGATACCAGAAGTATCCCGATGTAACTTTGTTGTGTAGACATACCCTAGGACTGGAAGAGACCTCAGAAAGTCATCAAGTCCAGTTCCCTGCACTGTTGCAAGACAATATAAATCTAGACCATCTCTAGCAGGTGTTTATCCAATCTGTTCTTAAAAATGTCCAGTCACGGAGATTCCACTACCTCCCATGGAAGCCTGTTCTAGTACTTAAGTATCCTTATAGTTGGAAAGTTTTCCTTAATATTTAACCTAAATCTCTCTTGCTGTAAATAAGCCCATCACTTTTTGTTCTACCTTCCATGGACATGGAGAACTGACCACCCTACCATGGGTGGTGGGTATAAGAGGCTGGGGAAGGCATTGCCTTCCTAAATTGTCAGGCTGGACTCATGCACACTCCATCCCATGCTTCAGTGAGACTCCCGGGCTGCCCCGGGCATCTGCCATGCTGAGGCTGTGTTCAGGACAGGCGATTGGGGATGCCTACATGCCCCATGCTTTGGGGCAGTGAAGGCTAGGGATGCCCACTGACTGTTCTCCCCATGCTACTAAGCTAGGGAAGCTTACGTGGAAGGAGGGCTGGAGTCCTGCCCCTGTGGTAGGGGGGTGCCTGGCTCCTGCAGGATAGTGGGACCTCAGGCACAGGGACGGAGCTGAGGGCTTGTTTCCCCCAGCCCAAGGTTCAACCACTGCCCATACACCCTACTGTTTGTAATAACCCTTAAAACAGCTGTTCTCAAATTTTCCAGACTCCTGTACCCAGTGCCATCCCAAAGGATTTTAAGAGGAATAAGGGATCTTTCGGAAAAGGGTTTATTTTCCGAAAGATCCCGTCTAGACTGGTGCTTTTCTCCGGCAAAGTCCCGAGCCGGAAAAAAGCGGCAGCCATGTTTATACAAATGAAGTGGGAGATATTTAAATCCCCCGCTTCATTTGCAATTCCAACTTGTCTCATCTGCATCCCTTTTCCGGAAAAGGGGTGCAGTGTAAACACAGCCCCAATGTATATAACGAACCTCTTCTTTTTGCTATGTATGTCCCTAGTTAGAGTAATTCATTCTGTGCCTTAGACTTTCTGATTTTATCCCTATATGCTTATGCTATTAGGGATAAAATAAAATAGCCTCCTCGGCTATTTGTCCATTTTCTATAGGACTCCTTTTTTATTTTTAGCTCATTCAAGAGTTCCTGATGGAGCCACACGGGCCTCTTATAGGAAAAATAGCCTTGCCTTTGCATTGGGACAGTTTGTAGTTGTGCCTTTAATACTGTGTCCTGGAAAGACAGCTAGCTCTCCTGAAACTCCTTTTTCTCTTAAGATTTTCTTCCCTTTGGAACTTATCCACCGGTTCTCTGAGTTTGTTAAAATCGGCTTTTTAAAGTCCATTATCTTTATTTTACTGCTCTCACGCCTTTCTTTCCTTACAATAGTGAAATTTATAATTTCATAATCATGTTCACCCAAAGTGCTTTGCACCTTGAGATTTGCTACCAATTCCTCCCTGTTAGTCACAATCAAGTCAAAAATAGCTGCATCTTGGTTAGGTTCTCCACTTTCTGGACCAAAGAATTGTCTTCAATACATTCCAAGAACTTACTGGAAATGTTGTGATTTGCCCTATCACTTTCTAGCTGCTGTCTAGGTAACATATCCCATTAGCACCAGATTTGTTTTTGATACTGAATTAAATGCTTGGCATCTATATTCAATGACTGGTTTTATTAATGCTCTAATAATTATTACCATTGCTTTTTTATCTGCACCAGAATATTTTAAGTAAATACTGAAAATAAGTATAAAGATGAAAGCAACGTGATTCTTCCATGTTACCTTGCTAGCAAATGTCAGGAATCTACACCTACTTGCTATACACATTGACTGCTTACTATGTGAATATCATTCCTTAAGTACAGAACATTTGAAAATCCACATTTCCCTCCCTATATGCTTCATTAATTCTCATCTCAGCTATGTTCTGGTTTCTGTTTTTAGCTCAGATGGCAGAGTCATCTGTAAGCAAGGAAATAGCTATTCTTGCACTTATCCTTTTCAGTGATAGTTAGCCATTATGCTATAACAGATGACATTCCCCCGGGGTTCCATTTGAGAATGTATTTAT